ATATTGAAATAAGGAATTGATCCTGATGGAATCAATATTGATTATAAAACTTTGAACATTTAAATTCATATCTATAAAATTATTTGCTATAATTAATTATTGCAAAAAGTCACAAAATATAACTAAATAGAATGATCTAAAATTAATTTCTATTTTTGGTAATATGCCTAATTGCAGTACATATACAAATATATAGATTATACTTTAAAAAAAAAAGGTTTTGGTAATAAAAAAATTATAGTTTATTGGTTGATCTGATCATATAGCTATGGTTATATGATTATTGACTATTCTCTAATTGCAGTTCTTTCTAAGTGCAAGCATTAGAGCTTGTCTCTTTAGCATACATTTAGAGAAGTTTAACTGTATATAGAAAACCTAATCAAATATATATTAAAAAAAAGATATCTTTCTAATAAAAAAATCTGATAATAAATAATATTGCTCTTAATAAAACTAATAAAAAAGAATTATAAAACTAACAAGAGAGAAACAAATTAATAAAATTAGTAAAAAAAAGACAGATTAAAAAAATTAATAAAGTCAAACAGAATAACAAAATTAATAAAAAAAAGCAGATAATGAAATTAACAAAAAATAAACAAATTAGTAAAACCAATAAAAGATAAACAAACTAGTAAAACTAAAAAAATAAAAGTAAGGTAAAGTTCAAAAAAAACTTATTGTAAATTAACTAATTCAAAGTAATAACAAAATAACTCTAATAATATTATTTTCATCTTCAATATCAATATAGAATCTTTTATTTTAAAATTTTTTTTCAAAATTTTACTATATATATTTGTTTTTATTAATTTAATAATTCTAATAGTTTTTTTTACTTTTTTTATAATTAAATATTAATAATAGTTGATTTAACTAATAATAAAAAATAAAAAATAATAGTATACTAAATATAGTTAGACATATATAGTAATAATAATGTAGTTTAAGAATACTTTTTTAGTTATACATTATATCTAATCAATATATTTATTTATTTTTATTTTTTCTACTTGATATTATATTAATAAAAAAAAAATACTAACAAAATTATAGCACTAATAAATCTAAGTTTGACTTATAAAACTAATAAGAAAAAAAAACTAATAAAACCAACAAGAAAAAGACAAACTAGTAAAACCAAAAAAAATAAATTAATAAAATCAGCAAATAAAAAGCAGATTAAATAAATCAATAAAAACAGGCAGATTAGTAAAATTAACAAAAAAAATAAATAACAAAACAACAAAAAACAGGCAAATTAGTAAAACTAATAAGAAATAAGCAAATTAACAATTTTAACAAAAAACAAATAAATCAGCAAAACCAGAAAAAAAAGTTAGTTTAAATTAAAAAAAATAAAATAAAAAATAAAATACTTATTATAAACTAATTAATTCAAAATAATAATAAAATTATAATATTAATAAATCTAAAGTTGATTAGTAAAACTAACAAAAAAAGAAACAAACTAGTAAAGCTAATAAGAGACAAATTAATAAGATTAACAAAAAACAACCCAGCAAACCCAACAAAGAAAAAATTAGCAAAACTAGCAAGAAACAGATTAATAAAGCTAGTAAAAAAAAATTAACTAAAAAAACTAATAGAAACAGACAAACTCATAAAATTAACAAAATACAAACAGATTAATAAAACCAACAAGTAACAAACAAATTAGCAAAACTAATAGGAAAAAAACAAATCAATAAAATCAAAAAAAATAAATTAGTTTAAATTTAAAAAAATAAAATAAAAATAAAATACTTATTATAAATTAACTAATTCAAAATAATAATAAAATTATAGTACTAACAAACTTAAAGTTAATTAATAGCAAAATTTTAAATATAAAGTACAATCTGATTTTTTTCTTTAAACTTGTTGTCATAAATATAACATTCTTTATAATACTTACATTTTGTCTTTCAAAACTATGGTTGAATTTTTTTAATAATATTTTATATAATTTTCTATTTTTTTTAAAAAAAAAATAAATAAATAAATTTTTATGTTTTTCTTTAAAGTCTTGAACCAAGTTGTTTTTAAGCTATTATTAATATATCTTAAGATGCTCAATTAATTTGAACAGAATTATCAGCTCTAGAGTTATATTTTAACAGCTTATTAATTAAGTTTTTTCTTTAAACTCATGAGTTCTCTATAATTTTTTCTATCTTGTTTTTCTTTAAAGTCTTAAACACTAAGTTGTTTCTAAATTAGTATTAAAAATGTATTCTTAAACATGTCCAATTAACTTGAACAGAACTATTAACTCTAGAGTTATATTTTAACAGCTTGTTAATTAGAAGTTTTTTTAAATTTTTAATTAAATATAAATTTTTTATAAAGTATATACAATATTTTCTCTAAAAAACAAACAAAAAAATAATATAAATAAATGAAAACAAATTTTTTTAACCCAATTTTTTTGTATTAAAAAAAAATGTCTTTAGAAATAAAAGCATTATAAAAAGAATTCATATTTATAATAAGTCATAATATAGCTAAAGTGTCTGTAAAAAACTCATAATTGTTTATTACTTTAAATATATTCAAAATATAAAATTAATTACAAAACAATTTGAAATTAAATCTAAACAAATTCATAATTGGTAAAATAAAAAATAAGAGTTTTTAAATGCAGTATCCTATTTTTTAATACTTAATTATAATAGACTAGTCTAGTATTTACACTTGAAAGAAAAGTTTGTTCAATAAATCAAAGTACTTCATAAAAAGCAAGTGGCTGTAACATAAACATAGTTATTAGAAGAGTTAAAATGTTGTTTAAAACTAGTGATATAAAGAATGCATATCCTAATATTAACAATTTTAATTATTTTAGTAGTTGGTTAGATGGATTTTTGTATTGTAATAATTTGTTGAATTGCTGATATACAACAGTTGCATAGCATCTTTCTGAAAATTTTATTAAGAAATAAAACACATTTTCAAGCTTTGTTTTGTTCAAATGATGTTAATATAAGTTTAATACCCAATATATCAGGAATATAAATAAAACATCTCTGTTTTTTGATCTATTTATCTAATTAATTTTAAAAACATAAAACTAAAACAGTAAACATTTGAACAACTAGACATAAAAGAATATTTTTTATTATAATTTTTAGATGTCTTACAAATGAAAGAAAACTTTCTGTAATGTATATTTTTAAATTAAAATATATTTCTTGTAAAAACTTTTTTTAGATGTTATTATAAGAATAAATAAAAAAAAATAGTATAATGAGAATAAAATACAATATTGGATCAATAACATTTAATGTAAGCATAGTGAATTAGGATGTTCATAATCTTTTTTTGTTTTAGATTCATTTAAAGATTATCTAATAGAGTCTATTAAAAATTAATTCAAACAAAACAACACTTATCTTGCAGCTATTTTAGATGGATTAACTAGTAAGTTATAACTTCTCAATGTTATAATCAATAAGAATTTCAAGAAAAAGGTATAATTAAAAAGTTGAATTTAAATTTGAAAAATTTTATATTTTATATATAAATTTGAATTTGAATTTTTTTTTTTTGGTATTAAGATAAGGTTATGTCCTTTAGTCTTTATTAGTATATTCATCATAGCTAGTACAAATTTATTTTATATATCATCTATCACTATATATTTATTTAGACATAGGACTCAGACATATTTATCTGTGACCTAAACTTACCAGAGTTCTGTATTGTGTTCTACTCACATCTAACCTGAGTTTTTGTTTTACTACTAATTATATTAGATAATTTGCATATTCCCCCCATGTTTTACAACCTATTTTAACAACTTCCAAATTGGTCCACCAAGTTGTTTGCTTCTTTTGAGCTACCATCTTTGGTTTACCTAAAAGGTGCCTCTCTAGTATATATTTCAAGTCAGGTTTTTGCTACCACTGCTAACTTTCCAATTTAGGTACTAGTAGTATGTATCTTAAATCAGGTTCTTGCTGTCATTGCTAGTTTGCAACCCTTTTTGGTCTTAATGTCATGTTCAATGGATTGTACATCTAATCTGCTCCTTAAGTACTCCTTTTTATAATATAGATGGAACTCTATTTTGGAAATGAATACATATTTTTTTTTAGCTATAAACTGATGTTTCTACTACTAACACAAAGTTTTAGAGATTTCAACTTCAAATTTAGGTATTTCAATCATGCTTGGTATGGTATTTATGTTGGTATGTTTCATTTATTTTATTATAAGCTTCTATATAGATATGACCAGAGCTCTGGTTTGGAACCTTTAAACATACAAGACAGGCTACAACTTCTTTATACAGCTGGCTACCTTCTATTTTTAGACATTTCACAATGCCAGAGGTGTTTCTAATCTTGATAAGGCTAATTTTTTGTTACAAACTTTTTATGTATGTACTGTTTCTTTCACCATTCCAGTTTATGTTATCTTAGTATCACCCTCCCAATCAAGTACTCTACAAGTTAGATGCAAAGATGTTGGTATTGCTCTGTCTTCAGAGGACTTACATGTGCAAATCTTTGTATAATAGAATCTTTTATGACACTGCTGTCATGCATAATGCCTATACTCTGCAAAGTTAGTTTTTTTCTGAAAATTTCTTTTTTCATCATGTACTGCACTTGGATTTGACCACAGGACTTTGTGTTCAATTATAAGCTCCTTATGGATTACAGAAGCTAAAATCTTTCAATTTTGCCTTCAGTCAGACTTGAACTATTGATCTTGACTGTGAAGGTATAAAAGCTTAACCATTAAGCTATAAGACTTATATTCATAAATTTGAATTTTACATTCAAATTTATATATAAATTGTAGAATTTTTTAAATTTTAGATACAATATGCTGAAAAAATTCTTTTATAAAATCTATGAATAGATTTTTTTTTTTAACTATTAAATTTGCTAGATATGTTTTTGTTATAATAAATAGATAACCAACAAGTAACACCAATTTACACTCTTAGAACATTTTCAAAAACCATCATATGCTACTTTAACACAATGAGTAAGAGAATTATAAAATGAAATTGACTCTTTTTTAATTAGAAGAACATTTAAATATTATGATATTTTTGTAGAAATGAATGGATTAGAAGATGATTTGATGTTCAATTATGAAATTTTGGATGAGAATTTAACAAATATGAATGAAGAAAATAATAAAGAGTTAGTTTTAGATAATATTTATACTGAAAAGAATGAAGATATTAGTAAAGAGTATAAAGAAATAAAGGCTGATAATACTTGGGAATAATGATTAAATTCCATTAAAATTTTTTTTCAAAAATTGATTCATTTTGTTATAATAATAGACTAAAAGGTTTTCAAAAAAAAAATTGTATGATCATAGGTTGAAATTAAAGAATTCAACATATTGAATTCTTTAATTTTAATTAGAGTTAAAAAATTACTGTATTTTGCGTAATGCTAACATTTTTAATGATTCCTTGCTTAGAACTTTTCTTTCAGTTGCCAAAATTTTATTGTAATCAGAAAACTTTGTTTAATAATACAAAACAACTAGATAACAAGATATAAATTATTGATCTATTATTATTAATACTATAATGGTAAAATTGATAGATTAGCTTATTGTCATTCTTTACAAGTTATCGATGCTAGATCATGTAATAAAATCTGTTTGCAAGACCAAAATATGTGACAAGGTTTGGTCTTAATTTAGGCTGATCGATAAACATCTTTCTGCATTAAGGTTAGAAGAATTTGGGTAAAATTCATTAAAGCATGAAAGAAATGTTTTTTCTTGAGCACCAAAGATGGGTTTCATAATCTAAAGTTTGAATTTGCCGCTCGACTTATTACACATTTCGATCGTGCAATCTGTTTCGGTTTTAGGCCCATACTTTTAAATGTAAAATATTCTTTAATAAAATAATCAAAAAAAAATTCATCAATTTAAAAAAACATTTATTTTTATGTGTATGCTATTTAATATAAACTTTTTTTTATTTCATGTGATTATTTTAATTTACCATGATTACCGGTAAGAAATTTTTTCGAAAATTGTGTTACCAAGGAAAAACCAAACTTCAGGCTTATAAGTTTATTGCTCGTCAGACTAGAGATTGTACCCGGGTAGAAAATGTTATTATATAGTTATAATAAGATTACCTGGTTAACCGGGTAATTTATTAATACTCGGGTAAAAGTTTTCTTAACGGGTACGATCTTGAAAAATCTGATTATAGATAACACATAATTAATGCAAAAGCACTCATAACAATAAAATAAAATCAAATTAATCCCATACATGCCTTTATATGTTGATTCGATTTTTTAGGGAGTTCTTGGAAGCACTCAAATCATAAAATCTACACGCTCCTGCTTGTAAATATTATACTGATATATATTGTACCCAGGTATAAGTCACCGTCGGGCCTTCTAAACTGGCAAGGGGTACACCGAATAGGGGGGTACCCATGTCAACTTTTACGGTAAACTTAATGCTTTTTCTCTGCTCTACAACATATTCACTGAATTTACCAACTTTCATAATATGATTTTCTTACCGAAGTTATAAAAAAGTGCAAGTCATTACTAGGGATTGGAACCACCTAAAATTTTTCTTAATCGTTTAATCATTTAATTTGGCCGGCATTAAAATAATTCCAGCCCATGACCAACATAATTCTGCTCGAAACTATGAAGCAATTTTTAAATGGTTAAACGATTCCAATCTCTAGTCATTACCTTGTCACGATTACGTTTGTTGTGCAAAAAAAAAAAAGATAAGACGTTCGAAACAACGATTTAGCAAAAGTAACGCAGGTGTGAGATAGTAGTTTATATAATTTATTGTCATATTATACAACCATTTTCAAAAAAAAAAACGAAACTAAAGTTATATACTGTATATATACATAACTAATTAAATATTAAAGTTTATTTTTTTTTAGGTTATAAAAGCTTATGTGTGAAGAGAAGCTTACGTATAATATACTTGTGTTTATACCTATATCGAAATTTTTTTAATAGTATAGTGGCGTGTAATAAGAAATTGTGCGAGATATTCAAGTTTTAGATTAGATATATAGCTGAATATGCATAAGAGACTATGAGTTTGTTAATAATAATAGTAAATCGGTTAAAAATGTATCTAAATAAATAAAGGTATGTTTTATCTATGTTGTAAAAGTATCTGATGGCATTAAATTTCTTTAATTCGCTTCGATTTTATTAACGTTAATTTTTTATCTTTTTAAAATTTATGATTTGATTGGCTAATCTACATGTGACACATTTTCCATATTTGGGACCGACGAGAAAGGGTTAAGATCAAGTTTCCGATATATATCTAAATTGAGTATAGCAACGGCATGCCATTTTCCCTACTGGTAATTATCGGTATATCAAAATCTGACTGTATTTTAAAACTTTAAAAATATATGTTTAAAATTGCAAGTTTTATATAATCAAGTTTAATGATTTTTTTGTATAAATTTATATATCAATAATTGAAACCTCTGTATATGGACATGTAACTGTTAACCTAGTTAATATAAATATACAACACTCAACCCTAAAGGTTGTTATATCATTGTGTAGTAACCACGGCATCATACTCGTCTGCAGAAATATATTGATTAGCCGTAGTGGAAAAAGTAGCTAAGTAAATAAAGACAAAAAGTTGACGTAAATTCTGAAAGGTGAAAAAAAGCACATAAAATGAATTATAAAATATTACTTATGACGTCATCGGGTATGGTATACATGATAGTTTTTCCTGTAATTGTAGTTTTGCCAGTGATTTTACCACCTTCAAGATACAAAAAATAAGCAGGTATTAAGATTAATTTGAAGCTTTTGCTTTTTTATATATAAACATTATTACCTGACTTTTTAATCTCTGCTTCTACCTCATCAATAACGTTGGTAGGTGTATCTTTATTAAAACTGATGATTTTTTTAATTTCGCCTGTATAGAAAAAAATGTTATAGAGTTTGATATATATATAAAGTAAAATCAATTAAAGGTAACAATAAAACCAACCCATTACGCAAAGTTTGTTAGGGAAGTAAATAAAAGAGTATTAGAAAATTTTTTTGTTTTTAAGAAAAGTCTTGATCCGCTTATAAAGGCGTTGTATGATGCGCATAATGTAATAATATTGATATGTATGAATTGTACATTGACGCCATTTATTCACGTGATTTGACAAATCTAGGGTAAGATGATCAAATTTTCATACGTAACATATGCCTCAAGAATGTTTATAAAAATCCTAACGCTAACAAGAATGATTTTCAGGAATAATATGAACATTATGCACTTAGGGGTATCACGCAAACTAGCCTAGATGCCTAAAAAGTTATCTCAACCTTGTGACATGTAAAAACTTCTTTATAAATCTTTCAAAGGCGTTCACTCAATCAAGACAAATTTGATAAGTATCTTTTTTAATACAATAGCAGGTTTTATCTGTTTGTCATATGATGAGTTGTTTTTTATATACTACCATATGTTAAAACCGATTAAAACCGGCTCCGGATTATTGAAATACCTCTGTCAATATCTGATTGGTTAGTGTAGATCAATCATATCCGAATATCGAATATCAACTTTTTTTAAAAGCAATATTTTGACCAGTAACTTTGTTCTTTTAATGAGCACTACAAATTACTGGTAAATATTACTCTTTGCTTGATCACGTGGTTATATATTATAGCCTACCGGCACCATACTATTTATTACAAAAAAAAATTTGAATAACTAATTTTGTTTAAATTTTCATATTATAAAATCCAAACATTTTTGCATAATGTTTTTACAAAAAGATTTTTAGATAGAAGTTTATTTCGTCCAATCAAAAATGCGATTAACTTAGCGGCTGATTTAAAAACAGATTGGATTAAAAAAAATTTTTTAAATTTAAAAATAGCAAAGAAAAGACGTAACAGCAGTACAAGCTATCTAATAAAATGTCGATTGATGAGTGAACACCCGAAAACAAAGGATTCGAAATCTAGAGATGATAAAATTGGATCAATAAATAATTTCATAAATTATCATTAGATGTTAAAATTATTAAAAGTTGACGTTCAGTAAATTATGCTTGTTACATTTAAAGGGTTGTTTAGTCCCTCTTCAAACTCATTAAATCATTATTATAACCATCATTTCGAAAACAAAATGGAACAAGTAACATTTGAAAAAATTTTTCTTACCTCAGTTCTTTTTTTTTTTTTTTATAGGAAAAAAAAAAATTCGAAAGATGTCCGAATTATATACATATATTTATTTAAAAAAATTATGTGTCACGTCACTATATATCAATTAGTAATACAAAATATCTATTTCAGTCAAAAATGACGATCGATCGATCGACATCACAAAGAAAAATAAAATAAATAAATTATCGATTTTTAAGAAAATATTCGTTATTAAAAAAATGATTATGTTACACTCGGAGTGCTAACAAGTATGACGGTCGATACAACTACATTATTAGCTGGTACAGTTGTGGTGACGTTAGTCTGTCTAGGCAACTTGGCTATGATAATTGCGATTATGATTAATATGACAAAAGCTATGATTCCAAAGAAAATCCATTTTTTTTTTCTAGCACCTAATGAACTTTTTCGAGCTTCTTCAAGATCATGACTCGCTATTTTTATATTTGAATAAGAGTCCTTTTTAAATTTGTTGACAATAAATATATAGTTGAATATAAAATATAATAATCACCGTGTTTAAAATCATCTGTAACTTTCTCCACAGAGGTTTCGATATCGCTGATAATAGGATCTTGAGAAGTTACTGTAAGCTCCATTTCTTGGACTAAAGAAACTAGTTCAGTGATGGTGCTTTCAATTTTTTTAATGCTACCATGTCGTTTCTTAACTTCTGCCAATGCATTACGGGCCTCACCAGTGCGTACAGCATGTGCAAACACTGGTTGATTTGACGAATTAGATACATAATTTTCGATTTCTTCTTGCGTAGCTTGAGGATTAGCAACTCTGTATTGACGAATGATTTTGTCTTTTTGTTGTCTCATATAATGATCTTCGATCCCACGATAGTCATTAAGAATACCATTGAATTTGTCATGAAGGCGTAGGTGTTGTTGCGTCCGAGAACTGATATTCGCATTATTCGGATCGGATTTTTGTAATCGAGTATTATCAGATTCAAGTTTCTTGATGCGGTCTTTTATTTGTAACAAGAGATGTTTTGTATTGTCCATCAGGTTACTACGTTCTTTATTATATTCATCCTCTTGCGTTGAAGTAGTGCTAATCACAATCTTTGATTCTAATTCTTGAATTCGGTCAATATTGGTTTGTATCGTAGTGATACCAACATCAATAGAATTAACTTCTTCAAAGAATTGTATTCCTTGTTGAGTTGACATGATGATTTTTTTTTTTTTTTTCGTGTTAAAAATATAGAATAAAGAAATCAATCAATCAAATATCAAATATCAAATATAATTAATAATTTGTCGACAACACGTAATTTATTCTATCATTCTCTATTTATTTATTATTTTTGAAAAAAGAAATGGACTTTTCAAGTTAATCGATTTAAAGCCCAAGTTAAAATGGTAGAGGCTGTGAACAGTTATTCACTTGTATACTTTAATCCAGTGGTGGCTTTTTCAATAATTGTTACCGTAGTTTAAGGAAAGCATGTAAAAGCCGGTGCAATAAGATTCACCGCAGTAAGTAATCGCCATACATCCGAACATCATACCTTGCCAATCAGAGCGTCCAAATGGAAACGATGGTCGACATCTTAATGAATCCGAGTTGATCAACTCCATAGATAGTTCATCGGGCTTAGTCGACATTTAGAAAAGTTTAGATCGATCAGATTCATGTAGGCTGTGAAATGGCTGAAGTTATATTTCCAATGAGTTTTTACATTGAGATTTGCCATTTTCAGAATTTCATTATTCAAAATTCTAATGTTGGTAAATTTTTTTTTTTACTACGGTATATCCGAAAGGTTTCGTTATATGATTCTCAGACTATTGATACCTATTGACCAAAATTGAATTTCCGTTGTCTTTATGGCTGATGTTCTACGTACTAATAATTATTGTTATTTTAATAAGTTTATCATCGGATCTCATGCACGATCAAATGCTTGGTTATAACACATAAGTTTGATACAGGTAATATTCATGAATTTTAACATTTAATGATCAACAACTCTAGTAATGCAATACGTAGAATTGATCCAATGAATTTTTTTTTTATATAAAACTTACAACTAGTTATAATTATTATTACGGTTACGGCAAAAACTGTATAATCATAATGATCGTAATATAATAATCACAAAAATAAATAAGGAAAGAATATTTAACAAATTGCATCGGTATGGATTTCATTCATTTATACGTACGTATAAATATAAATATAAATATAAATATATCTATATTTATATCATGTAATTCATTTTATATTTTGTCCCAGAGTACAAAAAGGTTTCGTTTATGTCACGTAATACCTCTTTTTTATTCACTTTAATGGGTTCGAAATAGTGAATAATCAAATAATCTTAATAATTATCAGCTAATTTTTTTATAGATTGTTTCAGGACTAAATATGTATCTTGCGCGAGGTAAAACTATATAATCTACAAAATCGTATGACTTTCGCGCGAAACACGAGGTGATCTCATTTAAGAACAAATTTTGAGTTCAATGGATTATAGAATTTTGGAAATGGCTCTAATATTTCATTATTATTATTATTATTATTATTTGATAAATCGTTAACCGCTAGGATTTCCTTAATTAACAATTTACTTTGTGCGAGATATAAGATTTGACTTTTGCGTCTCTATTCGGGATTTAAGAAAATCGCAATTATTTAAACATATTAGCAAAATTAACTATTGTTTAAACATATTAGTAAAATTAACTATTGTTTAAACATATTAGTAAAATTAACTATTGTTTATTAACTATTGACGAATGACTATTAATTAAATGTGCCTGTAATTGATAATAAAATGGTTGGTAAAATAATTGAAATAATTTGTCATTGAAAGACTCGGTGAAATAATTGTCTACAAAGTAAACATGTTTCAATATTACGGTAATACGAGTGTTTTGTTGGAATCTCATATTTTAATTAAGCAGAACAGAACAACATAATACGGTATACATACATATGTATTGTATATAAAATTTATATCTTTGAGCAATAATTTTTATTTAATGAAAAAATCTTAAATTTTTTAAAAGCGATTACAAGATGAGATTTTCAATATGGAGTAAATCTTTGTTTCTTTAAAATGGTTTTGCATTTACCAGTAACGTTAATTGTTACTATCTTTTGTAATGGATATATTAGAAGCATTTTCTAAGTTGATAAATCCGTAACCTCACTATTATTCTTATTTTTAAAACATGATTCTAATCGTTTTATTAATTTGAATAAAGTATTTTCCGAACATATGACATTTTTTACTGATTCGAGGTCATAGAAAGACTTTCGTATGATTTGCTGTTTAATAAACCTACAAAAAATAACCAAAAAAGAAGCAGATAAAAAATTTTATTAGGGTCGTAGGACTCAACAATTAAAAATAATCAAAATCATTTCTGGTTTTAGAGAAGTTAGCATAATAGTGACTTCTTAAAGATAGATAGAATTAGGTTATTACCATGCTAACTTCTCTAAAACAAAAAGTGATTTTGATCATTTTTAATAGTTGAGTCCTACAACACTAATAAAAATTCCTATATACTTTTTTTTGTGTTTGTTCTTCATAGTTTTATTTTTTTATCATAACATGGAAAATGGTTACACGAATGTGAGTGATTGTCACAGCCAATCAAGAATTTTTAAATCAATTGTGTAATGATCTACAAGATCGGGGCACTCGGGACGTTCCTACCTCAAGTTTCTAATACGGAACAAAAAAATCAAACTTATTAGGTTGATCAACCATTATACCAATAAATCTTTTTACAGTAAAATTTGTCCGCTGATTTCCATTTTGATTGAATAACGTATTCGAATTTGTTGAAGTTGCCGTGAAGGTCTACATTTCCATCACTTATATTGATCCAAGTTCTATTAATAAAAAATTGTGTCTTATTGGAATAACTCAAGATGTTGTTCTTCTCAAGATGAACGTAAAGCATATATTCATATCGTAATTCTTTTTGGGTATCCGTTAACTATATAAAAGTATTAAAAAAAAAAAACAATGAAAATACTGATATCTCGTAGCGTTTAACTAATACCACTCATGAAACTGTTATCACAATATATCAGGATATTAACTACCAGGTCTCTAACCAGCATAACTTCATTAATATAACATAGCGGGCTTTCATTGTAATTGGCTAATTTTTGTAGATTATTCCGTAATATTGCAAAAATATCATTGCTTAATCGAAATTGTTCGCAAGAATAATTTTCTACTGTACTAAACTAATTGAATATTTATTAATACCGTATAAAATAAAATTGGTATTAATAAACGCATTACTACGAAATCTATTAAAGTTTAAAACTATCATCTCGATACAAAACAGTCTGAAATCTTACTTTTTTTAAAAAAATATAAACTATTTATTTTAAAAGACTATAATAATTATATAAATAATTTTTTAATTAATGCCAAACGAATTTAACCATATTCTAAATTAATATTCTTAAACGTAACACTATGCTTTAATAATAAACAGTAACACTATATTTTAACCTTATAAAGTTCATAAGCTTATGTTTTCATTGCTTTACATCATTAATCTATTTACTGACAGTACATGTCTGTCTTTAGAAAAATAAATAAGTTATAAATCAAATAGATTAACGCTATAAACCTTTTAAAAAATGACTTATTTTACTAAGTTTAATATATTGTAAATTATATTGGTTAAATTAAAACGTCTAAACATACCTCTCATCTAACTTCCGAATTACCTCATCAGTTACTAAATTACTTTAGTATGTTGTAGAACCGAAAGTGTAGTTTCTAATTTATATATCGTAACTTTTGCGAATTCGTATTAGTGGTTGCGAAATCATTTTTGTGCACTCTTGTAATAACTTTAATAAGATTTTATTATGATGAAATGATCAAAACTTAGCCAATTATAATAAAGCCCGCTATGCTACTCTCGACAATATGTTCAGTAAAAGCGCTTACCTTGTAAAAATCGGAATAATCAAAATTTGATTTACTAGGTTTTTTTGAAACAAGGTTCATCATAATATTTATTATTTATTTTAAGTAAACTATTTTTATAAATGAAAATATTATATTCGAAAGAAGGATTATCAATTGAAAGTAAAAACGATCCTGTCAAAAGGTTTAGACATTTTGGACAAAGAAAGAAATACGAAAAAAAGAAAACATTTTCGTAGAAAATTTTAAAATTTTTATAGTTTTGAAAGTACGTTCTTTTAAATATTTGTATAAGTAATACAAATTAACAGGTTTTTTGTTTTTTTTACGCGATGTTTTTTTTTTAATGCGGTATTTGTTTTTTTTTACGTGATATTTGTTTTTCATGAGTTAAATCGACAAATATGGAAAAGAGGAATTCATTCAGTCATAGGGATATACCAAATTAGTCGTCTGAAGCTCATAGGAAGACATTCGTCTGATTGGCTAATGTAAATCAATTGCCAGGGTAACTTATTTATATATTATATACTTTTCGCTTAAATAAAAAGTCTAGATTTATTATGCCCATTTTTTCGCTTCGATAGAACGTCTAGATTTACTAAGAAAACAATATATGCCTACCGTTTATTGAGCCAGACCAAATTATACTGTATAGTGAAAGTAACTGGAAACGTTTTCGTCTAAAACTATTTTATTACGTTATATTTAAATAAACTTTTATTTCTAACTGTTAATTTGTGTAAGTGCAAGCTCTTTAGTGGTAAAAAATTCGGGCTTAAGATTAAATGTGTTCAGTTATTGTAATGTGTTTGAGTTTGTCAACCATAAATTAATAGTTAAGATTTTTAATGTAATGAGTTGGGGTTTATTAAAAATAAATATCACATTTATCCACTTTACACGCATTTATCTATTCTCTAAATATAAATAACCTTTTTTTTGCATAAATTTATTGTCTGTAAGCTTTTTTATAATGAATTTTTTAATATTTTGTATCTAATAAAAAAAACATTATTATAGAAAATCAAATTTCTTGTTCAAATTAGTTGTTTCTTATAAATCTTATTTATTATAAATAGGGTAGCTGTCATGCTAGAAACCAGGAACGAAAGCAAATATAGCAGTTAACAAATAGTCCAAGTAACATACATATAAGAACTGATCTAGCATCACATTAATATATTGTAAAGCATTTAATATGCATTATTGGGCAGTTGTCTTGTATAGTTAATTAAACAAAACTTTACAAGGCATCATATAATAAATTATTAAGTTATTAGATTAATTGAAAAATTAATAGTAATTATATAGCAAATTATATGATATTATATGATTTATATATAAAATTTTGTTATATTACACAAATTTTCTATATAAATTTTGTATGATCTAGAAAATTCATAAGCTAATCTAAGAAAACTTAGTAATATATATAATAATTTTTTTTAAACCAAAATAAATTATAAAATTTTATTAAAATAATTAGAAGTTTTGGATTTATATACTATTAAATTTTGGTAACAATGAAGATGGCAATCTTTGTGTAGTGGTTGAGTTGTCATTCTCCAAATAACAGATCTAAGGTTCAAATCTCACTTATAACAAAATTTGAAAATTAATCTGTGTTATAGAAACTGTCTTCTGTCAATTGGTTGGCTTCATGCAGCTGTAATCCAGGTATACCAAGTCAGATTCTACCTGTTATTAGAAGCTTAGGACATCTATATGAAGTATAACATTATATGTACATAGAGAAATGTTAATAACTAGTATTGCATAAGACTTTGGTGTAAATCTATAATAAGACCACTAGGCACAAAAGACTAAAGAACTGAGAAGATAGAATCCCACTTTGAAATTCTTGAATAAAGAGATAGCACAAACTTTTGACAGTGCTGTTAAACTAATAAAAGTTTATGAAACTCCTTTATAGGAATAGGTAGATGAACTGAATGACAAGATGTATAGAGGAGCATATGACCAATTAGGCTGCTGAAATCGCTAAAGGAAAAGGATACTAAGATATATTATACCAGGCCATCTGGATTGAAAATCTAGAAAGTCTGTCAGTTTTAAGTTGCAGTTAGTAAAGAATGATGAAAAAGATGTTAGAAAGATAGGTATCAGGGTTTGGGTAAACTTTACAAGAATAGAAATAGTATAACATAGTAGTTTAAGGTTAGTCTTAACTGCAAATATTAGGTAACTATAGCATGTTACATAAAACTAGATTAGCTATGTATAGAACACAGAAGGCTCTAGTAATGATGCTTCTAAGAATACATTGCATAAAATAAGATATAAGGTTTTAAGAATACAGATAAGCATCTAAACTTTCTTAACTGACTTATGTAGTAGAAATAATCTAATAATATAGTAAGAATTGCAGCTCAGAAGGTTTAAATTGACAATATCTCTAGTTAGATTGCAAGTATAGCAGCTAGTATAGAACCATCAGTGGACTACTTAATTAGACACCAAAAGTATATATATGACTAGTTGTATTCTTTAATGTAAAGAGACTCCTTTAAGGCCTTGGCTATAAGTCCCTATGTTCTAACTATACTAAATAAAAAGTCTTAGCTTCAAAAGAAGCTAGTTTAAATTAAAAAATATATATATATTGGTAACAATTGAATATAATACTAAAAGATTTATTAGTAATATGTTTTTTTTAGATAATAAATTTTATTTACTAAAAAAATCATATAACAAATAATCTATATCACTTCTACCTTTAATCAACACAATAAAAATTCTATAAAAAAAATGAAATATATTAAATATTAGTATTAAGTTACCAATTTTTGAATCTAAAATTTTTGTTTTTCTAAAGTTAGTTATTGCAACTATAATATTACTTATGTTTGCATTTTTTGTTTTCAAATTATACTTTGTAATTATATATCTAAAAAATTAATAAATAAATTATATAAACCAATTAAACTTAAAATTTTATAAACAAATTATATTTCAAACAACATATATCTGATATATTTTATATTAGTGCTACTAATATAACATTTTATTAACACTTTATTTTGAGTTTTATTATATAATAAAACTAATTTTAATATTTATTATAGTTAAAACTAATAAAAAAAAAGATATTAGAGTATGGTAACCTAGTGAAATAGTTAGGTTATCAATTCTTTAAATAGTAAGTTAGATGTTTAAATTCTATTGATAGTAAAAATTTGGATAATCACTTATGTAATATTTGTATTATAACAACTGTTACTAATAATTAGATTAAAATACCTGTAATAATAGTTGCACTAGTATGACTAACAAGTTATAGGGCATTCATGTAATAATCATATAATATTGTCTTTTGGAACAAGGTCTGTAGTTATACAAAAAAATGCAAACTGGCAATTAGACAGTACAAACACTAGATTTGTCCTTGTAGTTATATAAAAATATTGAAATTAAATAACAAAAAGTCTATTTGAAAAAGTCTAAATAGAGAGATAGCTGGATTTTTGACAGCTCTACTGTAAAGACTAGTTCAGAGAAATAGATACCAAGATAATAGTATTTAGTCATAGTAACCAGACAGAAAAGAACCTCTAGGTTGGGAGTCTCTGAAGTACCATCAACCAGACTGCTAGAATGAACCAAAAGAAAAGAATATCAAGCTGACCTGATATACCAATGAACTGATTATAGTTCTACATAGACTATCTAGATTGGAAGTTTGAAAAAAGGCAGATGAAAAGACAGGAGTATACTAAAGTACTGAGTTATGCTGTGAAGTAAATACTAAGATCTAAGTAAACTCTACAAGAGCATAATAGTTTAATAATTAAGACCTAACTGCAAGTATTAGTTCTGCTATAGTAATACCTAGATCAGCTGTAAAAATAGGTACAAAAGGCTCTAAAAGGTTTACTTCAAGGATAAAATAGTTCTAAAGTTGAAATAATAATCTGAGCATCAGATATAATTCAGTAAAGTTAACAGGTTTGCAGGTTTAGAGGATTTAAAATAGAATATCTAAGCAGAAGTATTAGGTATGACAATTGATAGAAAATCTTTAGGCAGACTTCTTAAATAGATAATATAAAAAAGTTACACATGTAGCCAATTGTATGCTATTCCTGTAATGGTTTACTAAACTATATTTATTATTGTTAAATAAAGTCAAAAGACCAAGAAGTTATTTTTTTTTTAAAAAAAAAAGATATAACTAATATATGCTTATAATTAAAAATTAAACTATTAAGATTATTAAATTATATAACTGTATTATAAAACTAGAACTAACATCAAAAAAAATAATTTAAATTTAATAATTTTTTATTTATTTTAATATCAAATAATATTAATAATAATTTAAGTACTAAAAGAATAATGATTCTAGTATAGTAGTTGGGTTGTCATTCTCTAAGTGACAAGTCTAAGGTTCAAATTTCACTTATAATAAAATTTTGAAATTAATCTGTATTACAAAAAATTGTCTCTTGTCAATCAGTTGGATTTATGGTATTTGTAATCTTGAATACAACTAATTAGATTCTACTTATTATTGAAAGCTTGGAGTATCTATATAAAGTATAATATTATATGTTATATATATATAAAGAAATGTTAATAACTAGTATCATATAAGACTTCAGTGCAAACTTATAATAAGACCATCAGATGTAAAAGACTAAGAAACTAAGAAGACAGAATCCTACTTGGAAATTCCTAAGTAAAAAGATAGAACAAGTCTTTGATGATACTGTTAAACTGATAAAAGCCCAGAAAACTCCAATAAGAAATAAGGCAAATGTAACCAGATTGAAAAATATGTAGAGAAGCATATAACCAACTAGGCTGCCAGAATCACCAGAAGAAAAAAATATCAAAAAATATATCATACTGAGCTATCTGGATTGGAATTTAAGAAATTTGTCAGATTCCAAGTTGAATAGTAGAAAAATGAAAAAAAAGTTAAAAAAACAAGTACCAGAGTTTGGATAAACTTTACAAGTATAGAAATAGTATAATATAACAGTTTAATAGATAATCTCTGTAACTGCATGTATTAGGTAATTATAGTATATTATATCAAACTAGATCAGTATGTG